CCACTTTTCACACTTTACAACTGTTGCCGCAGCCCCGTGATCAAAATTCAGATGCTTGGCACCACTGACTCATATTTACGACGCTTGTCGTGTCTCCAGGGGTCATGTGATCCCCTTTTGCGACCTTCGGAGAAGCAAAGCCAACGGGGGAAGCCCAGATTCGCTGAACGGCCGTGTTACTAACTTACTTGCTGTGATTCACTTAACAACTGTGGCAAGAAAGGTCGTAAAAAGGGGACAAATTCAATAAATGGCTCACTTAGCAACGTAAATGTTGTGCTCCATTGTGGTCGCAAAGTCAAGGACAACCTGTGTCAAAATAATGCTCGTCTTTAGTGGCCCAGAAATGGGGAATCCACTTTCGCTAAAACAACTCAACAACTGTTTCAAGAAAGGTCGTAAAACAGGGGCCAAACTCAAGAACTGTCTCACTTAGCAACATAAAGTTTGGGGTCAGTTGCCGTCGTATGTTGAGGACTATATGTAGCAATTTGCATCCTTAATTTTCCTGCAGTCCGGACCAAACTGTCTTGACCAAACTGCAAATGGTATATAAATCTGGTGTGTTGTTTTTTTTTTCCAATCCTGCCACATATTCATCCACATCAATACAAAGAAACTTTTAATAGCATCGGCCTCAAATTAATTAGCTAGTTATACAGATTTGTAAGGCAGCTTGATGGTATCCTTTCCCTCTTTTTCTTTTTGCTCAGAATTAAGGAAAAGAAAAAAAAACCTCCCGACACATCTAAAATAGGGAAGTAGAGGAAGAGGTTGTGAAGCTTTATTAGCAAATTAGAATTAGGGGGAGAGCAATTATTTCTTCTTCCATTTTATTTTATGGTCAATATCTGATGGCATCAACCGCCATTTAAGTCAGGTGGGGAAAAAAATCAAAAATGCTTTGTGGCAAATAAGTTTACGAAAAACCAAGGGTTACGGCACTGCACATTTTTTTAAATCTAGCCAAGGAGCTTGAAAAATATTTGTCTGTTATAGGCAAAGGCACAACTTGGTAAATCACGTTCATTTCAGCTCTCCATGTGCACTTCCAAGGCACAAACGTCACCGCCTTCTAGCACTTATTTAAAAATCTCGATTATTTTTAGAGGGGATGCAAAAGATCAGTTGATAGTTGTGATTCTCTCCACTTTAACGTCCCAGGGTCCAGTTCCTGACACTTAAAGCGAATTAATTTTCTTGGGTTTTTTTCTCTCTTGGAACCAGATAGTGTTAAAAGTCTAGTGATCAATTTGGTTTGACAATACAGCAGAAAAACACAAGAGATTTTTGTTCCATTACAACCACGGTTTCTAGATTGCAGCGTTAAATGATTCCTCCGTCGTTTGCTTATCAATTAACGATCGTCTGGATTTTTGCAATGCAGATAGTCTTAATCGATATTCCAATAACTGTTCAATTCCTCCCGGTATAAGCCGACATTCGAAAAGCAGCATAAACGTGCCTTATTGAAACGTACATGTACAGCACAGCTGCCTTATGCTTTGACATCGAATTGGGAACAGGCTTCAGATAGTCCTCAGATTGTAACAGTTCATTTAGTGATCAAAGTTACGACGGCACTGACAGAAGCGACTTCTGGCAATTTTTCACACTTACGACCACTGCAGCATTCCCCTGGTCACTAATCAAAATTCAGACGCTTGGCAGCTGATTCATATTTACGACGATTGCGGTGTCCCTGTGTGTGTGTGTGTGTCACAAAATCCTCTTTTAGTGACAAGCAACGTTCATGGGAAAGCCAAATTCACTGAACAACCATGTTACTAACTCAAGAACTACAGCGATTCACTTTAACAACCGCGGCAAGCAAAGTTGCAAAATGGGGCAAAACCCGTTTCACACCCGTCTGACTTAGCAACAGAAATTTTGAGCCCAGTTCTGGTCATTAAGTTGAGGATTACCTGCCTATCCAATCTAAAGTGAGCTGGTCACTAAGCGTTCCGTCTTTTTTCTTCTTTCTTCCAAATGACGGCAAAAATCACGTTGCTGTTCTGCAATCTTCCGCACATTTTGAATTCAGGACAACCCTGTTTTGAATGCACAGAGATAAGCTTGTTTCCATCGGGCGCTTCTCCGATACCTTGAACATGCTGAGAGACACATTACTGATGTTGGCGACATGGCAGAGTCTATACTCTGAGTCCTCGGCTTACGACCGCAACGGAGCCCAAAAATCTTATGTTGTTAAGGGAAAAAGTTGCGAAGTGAATTTTGCCCCATTTTACGACGTTTCTCGCCACGGTTGTTGACTGAATCACTGCAGTTCCTTAATTAGTAACATGGTTGTTGTGAATCCTTGACTCTGCTCGTCAGAAGGGTCGCAAAAGGGGAGCATGTGACCCTGCCGAGGACGCCGTGACCGTCACAAATATGAACCAGTTGCCAAGCGCCTGAATTTTGATCACGTGACTATGGGGACGCTGCGACGACCGTAAGAGCAAAACATGGTCATAAATCACTTCTTCCAGTGTCGTTGTAACTTCAAATAGTCATTAAACGAAGTGCTGTAAGTCGAGGACTACCTGTGTTGGGCAATCCTGCCGTTTAGCTTTCATCAAAACCACGTCCTTTTTTGCCTCCTTCACTGAAATGGACAACGGTTCTTTTCTCTTGGGGCAAGGACGATTCGAAGCACACACGAGCAGATCACAACGTACAACTAATTCATTTACTCGCTGTTCAAAGTTACGACGGCACTGAATTGACTTACGATCATTTTTTTTTCACATTTTCAACTGCGGCAGCCTCCCCGTGGTTCACCTGATCAAAATCCGGAAGCTTGGCAACTGTCTCGCATTTACGACGGTTGCACAGTGTCCCGGGTTCATGCTTTTGCGACCTTCTGACAGGCAAAGTTGGCGGGGCAAGCCAGACTCGCTTAACGACCGTATGACTCATTGAAGAACCGCTGTGATTCGCTTAAGAAGCGAAGGAAAGTCGTAAAAATGGGGGGGGGGATCACTTAACGAATTTCTCACCTAACCACATAGATTTTGGGCTCAGCGGTGGTCCTAAGTTGAGCACGACCTGTATTTTTTTTGTGAGAATCTTATTTCAGAAATATCAAAAAAAATATGGAGATGGGGAAGAGTAGGCTAGGCCAGGGGTAGGCAACCTTGGCTCTTTTATGACTCGTGGACTTCAACTCCCAGAATTCCTGAGCCAGCCATGCTGAGGAGAAATGGAGAGGTTTCCAAGCTGAGCCAAGCTGGCTCAGGAATTCTTGGAGTTGAAGTCCACGAGTCATAAAAGAGCCAAGGTTGCCTACCCCTGGGCTAGGCCAACTAATCTGGAATTTAAATCACATTTTTCGGAAGAACTGAGCAAGACTTGACTAAGGCGTGAAAAACCTTTGTACCAGAAACAATGGACGTGGTCCAGTCAAAGTGTTCTAAATTACACTGGTTTAATGAGAGTTAGGTAATACAACTTTTAAAAAGTAAGAGGATGATGAAAGTGCTAGAAAAGTTTATACCAGAACAAACTGAAGCTAAATACAATTTATGGAACAATAACAACAAAGCAGTTTTGAGTAAGCCAACTTGCCCCTGAGCAATTATTTACTCGAAATGTATGTGATTTTAGTTTATAAAGTGTTTAGGTTTACATTTTGCAATCCCCTTCCCCTCCTGCTCATTCCCTCTGGGTTGTTGTTGTCGTCATCGTTGGCTTCCATTTTTTTTTAACCTTTCCTTTCCTTGTTTTCTACGTACATGGTTCCCACGGCTTTAACCATAGGCTGCAAAAGGATAAAATGCTGGTGGATTACAACGAGTCTCGTTTCCTTAATACAAAAATAAAATTGCCTCTTTGAAGCTATGGAAGATGTAGAGCATGAAACCATCCAACTTTCAATTATTATTATTATTATTTTGTTTTTTGGGGAAATTATCGATACTGAGAAAGTATTGCAAAAAATACTTAGGTCTGCTGAAGTTTTCATACAAGCTGGCCAAAAATATTTGGACTTTTTTTTTAAAAAAAGTGTCCCTTCTTCATCTGTGACCATCTGCGACCGAATCTATGCTCTCTGGAAGCGCTTCAGTTAAAACCAATCTTTTTCTTAAGTATCGTATGAATACGGAAGGGTCTCGGATGGAAATTCATTTCTAACAAGGAAGAGCTGAATTTATTTGGCTGGAATTGTGGCTTTTCTCAGCTAAGGCAGCTGGAGGGGTTTTCTGAGGGCAGGAGATGCTGAGGGAGTGGGGAAAATGTGTATGCCTGCCGCACTCCTCAGCGAGGTAGATTTTGATCAATTTTATCCATGAATGTCACACCGGTACCTTGTGTGTCCCATTCATACAGTTGCATGACAAAAAAAACCAGATCACTGCATCCCACTGAGAAGTGTTTTCCCAGTGGATCTACCAAGACACTCGATCCCAGGCAAAACAGAACAACTTACACAACCCCACACACACACCAAAAAAAAGGCAACATTGATCAGGATGTACAACCTCTGCGCAGACGTCCACTTTCTGGTGATAAGTGGAGAATTATTATTTTTTTTCATTCACTCCGAGGGTTGAGGATTTCATTTTCTGCATTTCCCCCCCCCTCAAAAAAATAAAAATAAAAAGAAGTGTCTTCTGGAACATGCTTCTTTAACCAACTGTATTCAAAAAAAGATCCATTCGTTGCATTGCTGGGCATAAAAAGGAGACGTGCATCCTTATAATTGCAGGCACACAAAATCTCTGGCAAGGATTCGCAAACTTGGATTTTTGAAAAACAGTAACTGTATCATCGAGATATATATATATATCTATATATCTATATATACCGGCTGATTAAATGGCAAAACTAATCAGCTTGATTATAAGATTTCTTAGTCCGAAGGAAAATAGAATCTATTTGCTGGCAAATTAGGAACGTGCTTAGCATCCCCGGGAAACAACAACAACAAAAATTGTTCACATTCTTTCGGTCTGGCTGACGGCAAGAATCAAGAAGGGCCAAGCAAACATTTTTGTGTGTTTGTTTTTACTGACCATCAGAAAACTTGCGAGGAGATAAAAATCCAAAGATCCAGTCCAGCTGAATCTGAATTAAAACGCTCAGGTCAAAAAAAAAGAAAATGGAAAAACCAGAAAAGAGCAGAAATGAGAGAAGTTCAAACGAGCATGTGGCGTTTCCGATGGAGGGCAAGATGGTCAGAACGAGAGAAACTGCGATCACAGTCCGGACACTGGAACGGTTTGACTCCGGTGTGTTTCCGGAAGTGCCGCGTCAGTTCATCCGATCGAGCGAACTTCCATGTGCAGCCTTCCCAAGTGCATTTGTAAGGCTTTTCACCTGTTAAAAAAAAGGAGAATACTTCTTTTAGGAAATTATTTCAACGACACATTAAAAAACGTACGAGAAGAGCAATATTCCTTCGCCACCAGTAATTGCACTGAACACGCCTAATGTCGGGTGTGAAATCCACACGTGAAGGTCCAATTAAGCTGATCTATTGCTAAGCGGTCTAGTCACAAAAATCTTCTCAGCTTGGTTAGCACCAGCTAAGAATTAGCTGTGGGACAACAGAATCCAATGATTTATTTTGCTTGTGACTACATAGGGATTCTAGGCTGATGTCTCTTTTAACTCCGCCCCCAACTTCTGCCACTTCTTCCCCTACATCTATTTTTCCCAACAGATGTTTTGATTTTAAAATAGGTCCTTCTACATTCAAAATATGCCACAAAAAGTAACCTTGCCACCTATGGATAATTTGCACAGTCAAATCTATCTATATCTATCTATCTATCTATCTATCTATCTATCTATCTATCTATCTATCTATCTATCTATCTATCTATATATATATATATATATATATATTACAGCCAATGATTATTTAAATCCCAATATCCAATCTTTCTAAATCTGAGAAACGTCACAGCAACGCTGCTAGTTGCTTCCAACGATGCTACCCATTAAATGGAAAAAACTGGAAAGATGGAAAGAAGAAGAAGAAAAATATTCATAATTCTCTCCCCAAGAAGCCTTTATTTGCTTTTTTAAAAAGACCCCACCAGAAACTTTTAAATACAATTCAGTGTTTGGGGGAAGGCGTTTACTGCCAATATAGTAGGGTGTGTGTTGTTGAATATTCCACTGAGTCACAGTTAGAAGGCCAACAAAATAAACTTGGCTACCAGGCAGAGAGGCAAAATGTACCCAGAAGAAAATAAGTACCACCCTCTTGAATCTAGTACTGTATCTGCCTCTGAGGGAATAAAGCACTAAACCCAGAAAAAGCTATTTTCAAGGGGTATATAAGGATTTACAGGTAGTCCTTGACTTAGGAGCACAACTGAGGCACAAGGGGATCACGTGACCCTGGGACAGTCATAAAAACGAGTCCGTTGCCAAGCGTCTGAATTTTGATCACGTGACTGTAGGGACTGCTGCAACGGTCGTGTGAAAAACGGTCGTAAGTCACTTTGATCAGTGCCATTGTAACTTCAAACGGTCACTATGCCAGCTGTTGTAAGTCAAGGACTAGCTGTAGTAGGAGCTGGTTTTTTTTTTAACCATTTCGTTAAGGTTTCTAATGCCAAGAAATTAAAAGATGCTTGCTCCTGGGGAGGAAAGCTATGGCAAATCTAGACAGCATACTAAAAAGCAGAGACATCACCCTGCCAACAAAAGTGCGTATAGTCAAGGCCATGGTTTCCCCAGTTGCAATGTATGGCTGTGAAAGTTGGACCATAAGAAAGGCTGAGCGCCAAAGAATGGAGGCCTTTGAACTCTGGTGCTGGAGAAGACTCCTGAGAGTCTCCTGGACTGCAAGGCGATCAAACCGGTCAGTCCTAGAGGAGATCAACCCCGACTGCTCTTTAGAAGGCCAGATCCTGAAGTTGAAACTCAAGTACTTTGGCCACCTAATGAGAAGGAAGGACTCCCTGGAGAAGAGCCTAATGCTAGGAAAGATGGAGGGCAAGAGAAGGGGGCGACAGAGAATGGAGTGGCTGGATGGAGTCACTGAAGCAGGAGGCGTGAGCTTCAATGGACTCCAGAAGATGGCAGAGGACAGGAAGGCCTGGAGGAGGAACGTTGTCTGTGGGGTCGCGATGGGTCGGACACGACTTCGCAACTAACAACAAATGCCCCGATCAAAAAAACTAAAATTACATTTGCTTCTTACCTGTGTGTGTTCTTCTATGGGCTTTTAAATGAGAGCTCTTAGTGTACACCTTGTTGCAACCTTCGTAATCACACCGGTGTATCCGTCTCTTCCTTTGTGTGTCTGGAGATTCCACAGGTAGAGGCCTTTTTCCAGGCTGGACTATAACTGAAGGGTGATTCCTGCGTTAAGTTGAATCATATGTTAAAAACTACAACCTTTTGAATTAAATCTCTCTCTCTCTCTTTTTTTTTAAAGGGCCTACCCCGGAATTCACTTCTTCAATACCCCGTTTGTCTTCCTGGCAGCGTCCACAACATTACATACGTGTGGAAAAAATGCAAGCAAGCTTAGCAAATGTCATGGACTTTTGTGGTTAATAGTTTGGCTGACGTTCCGGATAGAGATTTGGTTTCATTTATTCTCTGGAATGAACCAGTCATCTCCCCCCTCCCCTAATTTCTTTTTTCCATTTATTTATTTTTCTTCAGAACCGTAGGATTTGACTGAATATTTTAAGCCGCCATCTTGTTTTCCAGGCCAGCAGAATTCAGAAACCTCAAGTGTTTCTATTTGTTTACACGCATTTCTAAATCTCTTAGCAAAGTTGTTTTATTTTAACGATACAGATTTTTTTCCCCTCCATGCAACTATCGATTTTCTTTGCTCTACAGACTAAAACTCAACAGATGTGACTCTTCATCTATTTCTTTAGAGCCCAATTACGAAATTCTGGGTTGGTGCCACCACAAGGGCGCAAATTCCTTGGCCGTCAAGGAGTTTCCTAAAAGTAGAGCTAAGATTTACGATTACATGGAAATGCACTCTTTGTATTTCTCAAAGAGTGCCCCTGGCTTCCATAAATGACATTTGTAGCGTTCCTTCTGAATACTATAATTCAGGTGAGGTGCACAGTGTAGTAGTATATCTGAAGTTCACACAGATCACCAGTTCTAGATATTGATGAAAACCTGATCGCGGTACTAAAATGAGGACCTAGAACAGATTATATTTTATTCTGGCCAGCGGTAAAGAATAATCTCAATTGAACACATCAAATGACGTTCCCCCTGAGATTTAACAGAATAGCAGAGTTGGAAGGGACCTTGGAGGTCATTTAGTCCAACCCCCTGCTCAGGCAGGAAACCCTATACCATTTCAGACAAATGGCTGTCCAGTCTCTTCTTAAAAACTTCCGGTGTTGGAGCATTTACGGCTTCTGGAGGCAGGTTGTTCCATTGGTTAATTGTTCTAACTGTCAGGAAGTTTCTCCTTAGTTCTAGGTTGCTTCTCTCCTTTATTAGTTTCCATCCATTGCTTCTTGTCCTGCTTTGAGGCGCTTTGGAGAATAGCTTGACTCCCTCTTCTTTGGGGCAGCCCCTGAGATATTGGAACACCGCTATCATGTCCCCCCTAGTCCTTCTTTTCACTAGACTAGACATACCCAATTCCTGCAACCTTCATACGTTTTACCCTCCAGTCTCCTAATTATCTTCATGGCTCTTCTCTGCGCTCTTTTTTTTTTTTAAAAAAATCTCAACATTTGAATGGCCCCAGCCCCATGCAAACAAAAGTGACGGAAACCCTGAGATTTCTGAATTAGGCTAAGAGTGCAAGGAGTCCAAATTTGCTCAGTCAAAGGCGAGTAATGTAGCTTTCCAACCACAATTCACTTCATCTTCCACTGGCGAGATTCGAAAACTCTAAGCCAGGGCTTTTCAACCAGTGGTACGGGTACCACCTGTGGTACATTGGCACCTGGCAGGTGGTACGTGACCATCCTAGAAAAGTGATAGCGAAGGAAGGGAATGAGCTGAACCGGTGGCAGCACCGCACAAGCCTGAGCAAGAGATGGCTGGAGCTGCAGGGCTGTCAGGGCTCAGCAGAAGCGCCAGGATCAGTGCCGCTTTCCAGCTGATCGGTGCTTCTTCGGGACTGTCAGGGCTCAATGGAAGCGCCAGGATCAGCGCCAGGATCCAGCTGGAGCTCGGCCCTGATCCTGGTGCTTCTGCTGAGCCCAGAAGAAGCGCCAATCAGCTGGAATGTTGCAGCATCTCCAGGGTCTTGTGATTTACATTCAGATGCTTGGCAACTGATTCATATTTATGACGGTCACAGTGTCCCAGGGTCATGTGAAGTGACCAAAACCTGCTGCAACCACCCAGCAGACGGGGGGGAATAAAAACCAAACACCCCCCACCCCACCCCCACTGCCAATCCTCAACAGAAATGCTCACAACAATGAAAACCTCAGACAGGAGGAAGAGCGCCGCCGGGCGGGCAGGCAGGTGTCTTGCTCGGCTGTGGCTTGGGGGGCACTTTTTTCAGTGCCATTGTAACTTCGAACAGTCACTAAGCGAACTGTTGTAAGTCGAGGACTACCTGTACTTTATCACTTTTTCCCTTCTTTTTTTGGGGGGGGGGTCATCAAGTTTTTGACACCTTGCTAGGCGACTGGTGGTACTCGGATACTGCCATATCCTAAAAGTGGTACAATGGGTGAAAAGGTTGAAAAGCCCTGCTCTAAGCCACTTACTCTTGTAGCATGTGGGGTGACAGTGAGGTCATCAGAGGAGGCGAGATTTGCTCCGGGTAGTAGTCGTTCCTCGGTGATTCCACGCCTGGCTCCACCTTAATAGATTTCTTTAGTGCGGGCTTTTCGTAAGACTCGATGACAGATACTATCAGGAGGAAGAAGAGACGGCGAATGGTAAACCAAGAGAGAAGCTGGCATTTGAGTCTTCTGTCACCGCGTTCTTACTACATCGTTCTTAAAAATGTAGACTGCAAATGCGACTTCCGTTTGAATTAATCTACATAACTTGAACAAAAATGCCGTTCTGTAATGGACCTTATAACCCAGCCCTTTGTTCTGCCACTATATAGACAAATCTACAGTGGCTTCCATTATATTGCGTTGCTTCCTCTAGGAACACCCAGTGCTTAATAGAATAATAGCCATCACAATTTGGCACGTTCAGCAAGTATATTTGAAACAATTTAGCTATAATATGTTTTAGAGATTGCATTCCTCCAAGAAATGGAAGGTCAGTCCGCATGTTTCTTTCTGCCCTTCCATTTATCACAACGGGAACTACGGCAATGGGATAGCTTAAACCAGGGGTAGGCAACCTTGGCTCTTTTTATGACTGGTGGACTTCAACTCCCAGAATTCCTGAGCCAGCCCTGCTGAGAGGAAAGGGAGAGGTTTCCAAGCTGAGCCAAGCTGGCTCAGGAATTCTGGGAGTTGAAGTCCAGGAGTCATAAAAGAGCCAAGGTTGCCTACCCTGAGCTAGAGGAACATATGAAAGCATAATTAATGTTAATTAATGTAGACTTTATTAGTGTAGAGCAGGGGTAGGCCACCTTGGCTCTTTGATGACTGGTGGACTTCAACTCCCAGAATTCCTGAGCCAGCCATGCTGAGGGGAAAGGGAGAGGTTTCCAAGCTGAGCCATGCTGGCCCAGGAATTCTGGGAGTTGAAGTCCAGGAGTCATAAAAGAGCCACGGTTGCCTACCCCTGACCTAGAGGAACATATGAAAGCATAATTAATGTTAATTAATGTAGACTTTATTAGTTTAGAGCAGGGGTAGGCAACCTTGGCTCTTTTATGACTGGTGGACTTCAACTCCCAGAATTCCTGAGCCAGCCATGCTGAGGGGAAAGGGAGAGGTTTCCAAGCTGAGCCATGCCGGCTCAGGAATTCTGGGAGTTGAAGTCCACGAGTCATAAAAGAGCCACGGTTGCCTACCTCTGGCTTAGAGAGTGCTGAAAAGGACTGTGAAGCGGTATATAAGTCTAAGGGCTATTGCTATAATTTAAAGTAGAAGACGAACGGATTCTTTAGGCTGACGTCATAAAAAAAACAAGTCCACAAAGAAACAAAAACAAACAGGAAGACAGAGGTTTACCTGGCACGCTGCTTGGGTTTTCCAACTCTTCCGAAAGGACGGTGGACACCATGATAGGCTGTTGAAGGTGTGGGGCGTACATAAAAGGGACAGGCTGAACGACGAGGGGCTGAATAACAGGAAGTATTCCAGGGCTCCTGAGTCCGTGGCGCGAAAGAGCCGCCATCACTGGAGGGATAGTTAAGGGCATCGTAAAAGGCTGCATTCCTGGTGGACCCAGTTTCTTCATGGGAGGGCTGGATGAAGGAAGATTCAATCCAGGGGAACCTCTTCGGGAGAGAGTCTGAAATTTTAAAGGGGAAGGACAGTGTCCAGCTGATGGGGGTGAGCTCCGTTTATTGACCGTAAGGTCGACTGGCTCCATTTGAACCCCGTTGCACAGTCCCTCTGGAATCTGGTAGAACTTGTTGGACATCATGTTGGGTGTAGAGTAGATGACGCCGTACTTGTTTGACTTCATGTGGTCCATGTACGTCGAGTGGAAGGACTACCGAAGAGAAGAGGGAAGAGAGGAATGAATGAAAATGGGTGGCAGAAAAGAGGAAGGGGAAAAAAAAAATACGTATTGGAGAATAGGATCTACTTGTGGCTTCGTTTCTGTCATGCTCTGACTTGAGTTCTGCTAGACTTCAAATTAAAGTTCACTGAATATAGAGAAACGTTTGTTGAAAACCACACTACAAATGACAATGCTGCGCAGATACAACACTTACTCCACTCTAGTGAACTATTCACTTAATTATTAGAGTTTATCCTGCCTTTCTTACTTTATTAGTAACTCAAGGCAGCAAACATACATAATGCTCCTTCTTTCTCCTATTTTCCCCATAACCCCCCCCCTCTGTGTGTGTGTTTGTGTGTGTGTGAAAGAGAGAGAGGGAGGGAGGGAGGGAGGGAGGGAGGGAGAGGAAGAGAGAGAGAGAGAGAGAGAGAGAGAGATTGGCCCCAAATCACCCAGCTGGCTTTGGTGCTTAAGGCTAAGGCAGGACTAGAACTCACAGTCTCCTGGTGATGGGCCCAAAATCACCCAGCTGGCTTTCATGCCTAAGGCAGGACTAGAACTCTCAGTCTCCTGGTGATGGGCCCAAAATCACCCAGCTGGCTTTCATGCCTAAGGCAGGACTAGAACTCCCAGTTTCCTGGTGATTGGCTCAGAGTCAACTAGCCAGCTTTCATGCCTAAGGCAGGACTAGAACTCACCGTCTCCTGGTGATGGGCCCAAAATCACCCAGCTGGCTCTCATGCCTAAGGCAGGACTAGAACTCCCAGTTTCCTGGTGATTGGCTCAGAGTCAACTAGCCAACTTTCATGCCTAAGGCGGGACTAGAATTCCCAAAGTCTCCTATTTCTAGGCCAGCAGCACCTTAATCCCTACACCAAATTGGCTTCTCTTCTTGGCCACATCCAGAGTTGTTTTCCATTGGTCAGTGTCTCTCGATCCAAATATTACATTTCAAATCTATGTCTCCGCTGAAGCAACCGTGTCTGGAAACAGGTAAGGCTTTTTGATACCTGCAGTACGTTTTTATGTAAATCCAGTTTATTTGTTACAAAGGCTCAGAATGGGTCTTTCGCCACCTGTGCCCTATTTTGTAATCTTGCATCTTTCAGAACCGGAAAAAAAATTGTGGACGGTTATTACAAATAGCCTTATCACCATGCAACGAGAATAAATATTAACATTTATGCTATTTTTAAATACTGACCACTGGAACGGGTTCCATGGCTTCCTGTTTGATAGGGACTGGATCAAACATTAGCATTTTTTCTTGAGATAAAGACCCGGGATTCTAAAAAAACAGGGGGGAAAAAAGCAGGACAGTTGTAATTTTTATTTTACACCATTTAAATACGGGGTTTAGCATGAACAAAGCGTATTTCAATTGTGGATTACAGCAATCAACAAACCATTAAAAAAAACAGATTAAAGGCATTTTCAAAACCTAAAAAGTTTTCCTTATTCTTTCTGCGTTTACCATGTACAACCTGTTCAAATTCTAAACCCTCAAGATCCTTTAAAAAGCAGCAGGATTACGACACGACATTTTGGAATAAGGACGCACATTTTAAAGCAATGTTTTGATTAGTCATGAGCCATAGAAAACATGGTAAAGGATGGAAGATTTCAAGAGTTGGCAGAAATTTTACAAGGTAAAAAGGTGCGTCAATTAACCTGGAGCCCCAGCTTAAGATATATTTTACAATATATTACACTGTCATTCAGTACCGGGAGTCCTCGGTTTACGGCCACAGTTGAGCCCAAAATTTCTGTTGCTACGTGGAACATTTGTTAAGTGAATTTGGCCCCATTTTATGACCTTTCCTGCCACAGTTGTTAAGTTAATAACACAGTCATTAAGTTAATATCACATGACCCCGGGACACTGCAACTGTCATAAGTACGAGTCAGTTGCCAAGCATCTGAAATTTGATCACATGACCACGGAGATGCTGCAGCGGTCATTTAAGTGTGGAAAAACAGCCTCAAGTCACTTTTTCCCCGTCCTGGTGTAACTTTGAGCGATGAACGAACTAAATGAACGATATTCAACTGTTAACACGAAATACTCTACTTGCGTCCGTAGGTGGCGCTAGAAATGCATAAAAACCAACCCTATTGGTACAAATTGGATTATCCATTTTTGAACAACTTTTCAGGATGTTAACCAACGAGCTAAGGAGAATCATTTCCAACTGGATATTTTTGGGATTAAAACTGCAAGCTCAGAAGTTCCTAAGTATAACGCGAAGGATTAATCACAAGGCACGTGCCTTTTATAAAACAACAAGCGGACCTGCAATCGATTTGACTTTGCTAGATTAATTCAAGCTCAGAAAGATAAATGGAAAACTGAATTGATGCCAAAGATCTTCCGAATTCTGGCTCATGATATGTTCCCCTCTGACTTTATAAACCTAACAAAGAGAAGGACGAGGGGGGACATGATAGCAGTCTTCCAATATCTCAGGGGCTGCCACAAAGAAGAGGGAGTCAAGCTATTTTCCAAAGCACCCGAAGGCAGGACGAGAAGCAACAGATGGAAACTAATCAAGGAGAGAAGCAACCTAGAACTAAGGAGAAACTTCTTGACAGTCAGAACAATTAACCAGTGGAACAACCTGCCTCCAGAAGCGGTGAATGCTCCAACACTGGAAGTTTTTAAGAAGAGACTGGACAGCCATTTGTCTGAAATGGTATAGGGTTTCCTGCCTGAGCAGGAGGTTGGACTAGATGACCTACCAAGATCCCTTCCAACTTTATCATTATTATATCACTTTCAATATTTTTACGCACGATTTTTCACAAATATTTATTATTTTCACAATAGGCAAAGAATCAGGCAAGAATAATTCAAACCCCAAATTAAATACTCCCGGATTAGAAAAACCTGGAACTGACCGAGTAAAATACTTTCAAATGCACACTTGCTGATCCACAAGCCAATCACTTGGTATGTTTCGGAGTTTTGCCAAATTTTAAGACAAAAGGAGAGCTTAAACAACAGGCGGCTGTGAGTTCTAGTCCTGATTCGTGCACGAAGCACAATCCCTTTTCTCACAGCCTTAGGAAGGAGACGGTGGCAAACCACTTCTGAAAAAAAAACTTGCTGAGTAAACCGTGAGGACGAATCCAGAAAACCTTTGAGAATGGAAGATTTTTTTTCAAAAAGACGGAAGAGCTTGCCTCTCCTGTGTTTTCCAAAACTCATTTTCCCTCAATGGATTTTAAAAAATTTCTAATTCCATTTTTTTTTTTGGCAATCGGGAGTTATGTTTTTTTCAACCCCCCCAAACCGACTCAGTGACGTGAAGACTTGGCAATGTACCCTACATTTTATAAACGTAGAATTGTAGGCAGTATTAATAAGAAATCAAAGAATGAACTCTTCTGCTTAATAATAATAATAATAATAATAATAATAATAATAATAATAATAATAATAATAATAATAATAATAATAATAAAGTTGGAAGGGACCTTGGAGGTCATCTAGTCCAACCCCCTGCTCAGGCAGGAAACCCTCTACCGTTTCGGACAAATGGCTGTCCAGTCTCTTCTTAAAAACTTCCAGTGTTGGAGCATTCACCGCTTCTGGAGGCAGGTTGTTCCACTGGTTAATTGTTCTAACTGTCAGGAAGCTTCTCCTTAGTTCTAGGTTGCTTCTCTCCTTGGTGAGTTTCCATCCGTTGCTTCTTGTCCTGCCTTCAGGCGCTTTGGAGAATAGCTTGACTCCCTCTTCTTTGGGGCAGCCCCTGAGATATTGGAACATGTGCTATCATGTCCCCCCTCGTCCTTCTCTTCGTTAAACTAGACATCCCCAATTCCAGCAACCGTTCCTTATATGTTTTAGCCTCCAGTCTCCTAATCATATTTGTTGCTCTTCTCTGTACTCTTTCTTAAGAAAACAGTCTTGTCCCTTGTGTTAAAACACACACACACATACACACACAAAAAACCCTGCACAGTGTAGTTTTTCCCGTCTCCTCCCTGTTGCTCCACCCTATGGATCGGTGCCAAGGCAAGGCAACTTGTCCAAACAGGACACGGTTTTGATAAGATTTCACTCACGCCCTGTGCTAAGTGAAGAAATGGGGGTTTGTATGCAAATAAGGCCAGGTATAAAGGTGAGAAGCGAACAAGATCTAAGCCACAGGTCTGATAACCGGGAGAGTGCACTAATTAAATCTCTTTTCTGCTCTACAATTTCTCTGCCGAGAGAGAGAGAGAGAGAACCACAACCAGGGGGAAGCAAGACGAGAGGAAAGAGAATGTATTTGGTTTCTTTGTAGATGTATCCTATCTACAGGGAGTCCTCACCTTACGACCGCAATTGAGCCGCTGGCTAAGTGAGGCCGTGGTTGAGAGAGCTGCACCCCATTTTACGACTTTTGCCACGGCGGTTCAATGAATCATAGGGGAGGGGGGGTGTTAAGTGAACCGTACGGTCACAAAGCGAATTTATGTGTGTCAAGTGAATTGAATGGACGTAAAGTGAAGCTGGCTTCCTTCTGGCTTGTGGGAAGCTGGAGGAGAGGTTACAAAATGGTGATCACGTGGCCCCGGGACACTGCAACTGTCATAAACACACAAACACAGTACAGTGCCGGAACTCGGATTACTTGACAGTGGGGACGCTGCGTTGGTTATAAAAGGGAGGACCTGACACAGGTCCAGTCACTTTCGGTGAGATTGGCAGCTAATAGATTTGATAAATAAGTCACTTTCAATCAAAATAGAGTTGGAAGGGACCTTGGAGAGGTTTTTTTTCTATATTCTGGGGAAATAAAACAGTAAAGATATTTCTGACGGTACTAAAGTCGAAGAAATGTTTGTTGAATTTAGGAACAAGGCTGCTCTTCGGATTAATGTCATTAAGTTTCGACTTAAAGCAGGTTAATGAATTATAAATATAATGTTTCTACTGATATGTACCTATTAGTAGCTAGGAGAAAGTGTCGGCCTTACAAAGCAGACGAGACAGGAAATCGACCAGATGAACTAATTCTACTTGATTGTAAGGTTACGTTAAACAAAATTTTACAAGTCCGAAAGATGAATTCTCTTTACAAGCCAAGAAATAAGAGTCTCTGGTGACCCTCTTTGCTTTACCTGTGATCCAGCTTATCTGACAGGCTTCCTAGACAGTATCTCCCAAAGTCATTCTCACATACCATTACAGAAAATTGGTCTTATTGTTCTTTAATGGGAAACATATTGTTACCTGATTTTGCAATTTCCACAGAAAAACCTTCTTTATGATTGATATTAGGTAATATTTTGGTTTGGTATGTGCTAGTTATCTATGTGCCCCTCTGATTATCTATTTGACTAATGCAGGGGTAAGCAACCCTGGCTCTTTTATGACTCGTGGACTTCAACTCCCAGAATTCCTGAGCCAGCTTGGCTCAGCCTGGAAACCTCTCCCTTTCCCCTCAGCATGGCTGGCTCAGGAATTCTGGGAGTTGAAGTCCACCAGTCATAAAAGAGCCAAGGTTGCCTACCCCTGGACTAACGTATATAGCCCTACAGAACAGACAGTGCACAGTCCACATGTGATTTCCTGCTTAACAGCCAGAAGGAAGCAGGCGGGAAACTTAGTCAGAGAGAAGCCATAGCAACTACAAACGTATAAACACTGCCATCTACTGGTTGAAGAATATCTCTCTCTACTGAATACCGCTGTAGTTGTATAAAATACACAAACACTATTCCAACAGTAGCTCTAAATGGTTATGTGGTTAATATTGTTCCCCCTTTTTCCTCTTTTAACTTTCCTACCGAAAGATGGGGATCTAAGCCTTTCAGAGTCATTTTAGCCTAGGAGAGCTCATAAATCAAGTTACTAAGTAAGCAAACAAAGATCTTCCAAGTTTAAAATCTATGAAACATTGCAGAGAGCGTCTAGCCAGTTCCAAGAGACAATGAATTCCTTATCGGAACAGAACGTTATCGGGCTTCCTGTCTTAAGCTTCAGCTTCCAGAGAGAGAAAAACACAGCCACAAAACAGAAGAAGATAACAAAGCAGACATTTAAAAGCAAATGAAGTTGCAGCTAGTCCTCAACTTATAACAGTTCATTTAATGACCATCTGGAGTTACAACAGCAGTGAAAAAAAAGTGACTGAGGACCATTTTTCACACTTACAACCTTTGCAGCATTCTCCCAGGATCAAAATTCAGACGCTTGGCAACTGACTCATGTTTATGACGGTCGCAGTGTCCCGGGGCCACGTGTTCCCCTTCTGCGACCTTCCGACAAGCAAGGTCAAGGGGGGGGGAAAG